ATATATGTATATGTATATATAGTTGCATTCTTTTGTTGCTGTGATTTAAATCAAACCGGTTTACAAATTCACGTTGTTATTTTAAGTGCTTTATAAATAAAGTGGTATGGCATGGATGGTATGTTAGTCCAGAGCAGGGGTGTCCACACTTTTTCAGCATGCGAGCTACTTTTAAAATGACCAAGCCAAAGTGATCTACCTACTATAAAAATACAAAACCTATACTTATTTATAAACACATTAAGTATTCTTTATTTGTACAATATATGTTGATGTATCTTGCATAACTGCAAGAACCTATATTGTGCTCTACAACTCTGTATATGTTTTTGTCATTACCGTACTCTGATGACTTTCACTGAATGGAATCGGCCAGGGATGCATAGTCTGGACATTAGCTACTGATAGCCTCAAGCACACTTCCAAATGACCATCAGTCATGGTGGAACAGTATTTGGATTTAATAATCTTCATGTGGGAAAAGGCCTACTCGCATAAATAAGTGGAACCGAATAATACGGTCAAGGAGGTAACACATTTCCTCATGTTGGGGTACGGTATTTTTCCTTCCAGAACTGTCCATGAGCCCTGGCCTTAAGCTGAATGTCAGCTTGTAGTGTCAAAATCTCATCCTCCACTCCAGAAAAGTTTAGGTGAAACAACAGTGTTTCAATCTTTGATGCCAAGCAACCTCAGCATCTTGGCACATGAATGTAGCGACTGGCTCCTCCAGTAAAACGAGTCTCGAAAGCATTTGTCAAACTCTGACAGACAGCTCTCCATCTGCTCTGTGTAGCACACACGCCTTCCCCTGCGTCTCCAGCTCTGTGAGTGGGGTTCTTGGAAGTTTGCCTAATAATGGTGCTGCAGCTTTAAGGAGATGTTGCACTGAGATGATCATATCAGTCAGTTTTGTCTTTTCAACAATGTTCAGGCAGGTCATCTGGACCGTTTCTTTTTTTTTTTTTGTCTGAGACATTTTGTTGTCCTTCATCCAAAGGACTTCTTTGATCTTAGGAGCCACCAACGGTGTTTAGAACCACTTTGGCACGACTGTCTCAGAGAAGTTGATGGGGGAGAGGACGGGCCCCGGAGGCCATCTTAGCACCAGCAAACTGTGTTTTTCCCACTATGGAGTGTGCTGTTTGTGGGCATCAGTTTTGTTTGTTGGTGGCAGATTGAAGAAGTCCTTTGGATGAAGGACGAAACGTCTCATCAAAAAAAGCATAAAAAAAATAGAAACCATCTAGATGGCATGACTGAACATTGTTGGATTTTATACCTGGATTATCGAGCATGACCTTTGGTGTTTTCTTTTCCTTGCAACATTAAAGTCATTCAACATGTTTGTCAGATTGGTTAAAAATGCTAAATTAGAGGCTAACTAGGCAACTCGGTAGCTTGCTTGCTAGTTTTTTGCGCAGTTGTATGCGCATGCGTGGTGACCCACGTGTCCAGAAAAGGTCAGGTCTCATATTGGGGGCCCTGCATATCAATCAAGTGACAAATTACATAGTGAGGATGGATGATGGGTTGACGTCTATTTTTTTATGCCATGCGATCTACTCATATTACCTTTGGTATCAACCAGTAGATCGTAGTTGACGTATTGGGCACCCCTGGTCCAGAGGTATCTCCTTCAGACTCCTCACTCAAATCTCCCAGGCTACTCAATCTTTTCTCATCCATCATGAAATTGTTCATAACTTACACCTTTTGTATTGATATGTACTAATATGCTATTAGTGCTTAGTGTATATTTAGTTGATGTTTTTCTTAGTTCATATCTTAGATGTTATTACTGTTTTTCTTATACATTTTATTGTTGGATGTAACGGGGACCCTGTGTACATAATTGCGCTCCACCACATGTACCACATGTGGTGTGAATGACAATAAAGAATCTCTGACTCTGATAACAGCCGAAATAAGCTAACTTTACCACGTTGGTTTCAAATGCTACACGCTTCCTGCCAGAGCAGAAATCCCATTTTATTGTTGGATGGACAGACAGTAAACAGGAAACTTTATTAAGAGCAATTTTTCAGGAGGACCCAAGGTACAGTCAAATGTATTGTAAAACGAAATGAACATAATAGCTGCAGTTTTCACCAGGTAGACCGATGCATGATCTGAAAGGGTCACCAAATGCAGTGGTGGGCACAGTTCTGCTAATCTGTTAACAGCTAATAACAGAACTAATATTTCGATTAACAGATTGGCGTCTTCGCTAACTTTGGAAACCATTGACCATGGGATACGTTACAGGAAGTTGGGTATAGGAGAGCCGTCAGGAATAAAGAGGTTACGCAGAGAGATTTCCCAAAATTGTAAATGACCCATCCTTTAAAAATACATCAGATGTTGCTTATTTTATATCCTGTTTTGAAAGCCTCACCTAACATAAACTGGTCTATTTGTGTATATCTTGTAAATGTCACAACTTTTTTTTTTTTTTGTGCTGGTCTTGATTTGCTGAATTTTCCTAAAAACAGTGGGTTTGTTCAGGAAAACTAAAGCCCAGTCTTTTATACTTGTGCTGCTTAAGCAAAGTTTTTTTTTTTACAGATTTAGATTTGAAAAATCACATTACAGATTATCACTGTTTTCCTGAAAAATACTGTCTCCGACACTAACCCTTTGTTTTTTATGTGCATTTTCAGCCTGTGCTGAGACGATCGTTAAGTTTTATATGACTGAGTTCACGCTTGACGTTGATACAGCAGTTCAAGTGTTGGACTTCACACCACTGGACAGTTTGGGCAAGCCGATAATCCTGTGGAACCGTACAAACCCTCAGAGCAACGATGAAAGAAGAGGAAACGTCAAAAACAATGTGTGGAAGATGTCCAACCTCACCCAGGCAGACAGCGGTTACTACAACTTCAAGCTAAAAAGCAACGTTGTGGAGTCGAGGATTTATCTCCTGGTAAAAGGTAATGACTGGGAGATAGATAGAACCTGCATGTGAAGATTTTATTATTTAATTCATGCACAGATTAAATGTTATTTTGCAATCTTTTCTGTTCCCTACAGAAAATACCTTTCACTATGACCTAAATGAAAATGAGCCCTTCATCATGACATATCCTCAGTTTGGTCGATCGTGGACTGTGATTTTTAAACCCAAGAATGGAGAAAACCAGGAGACGGTGATGAGAGGCGGCTTGTTGCTTTTAGAATTTCACCGATTCGCTCAGAGAATCAATATTAAGGGTAACGGCATTGAAATTGAGAATGTGGAACTCAAAGATTCTGGTACCTTCGAGTTTAAAGATTCACAAGGCAACCTGGCCATGGCTGTCCATCTGAATGTCAGCACAGGTGAGACACAGTACATTTACTTTTCTGTTTTAAAAAAATCACTGTGGGTTCCAGCTAATATTTCCCTTCATATTTATGTGTTTCTAAAGAACGCAATGATGCGATCGTTACGTATATTGCTGTTTGCATCGGGGCTGTCTTTGTGGGGATTTGCTGCTGCGGCTGTTGCTGTTGGTGTAAAAGAAGTTGCTGTGCAAAAGACAGCTCTTCACACCCGACAGAAGCAGCGGCACCGGCTGTGTATTATCATGTAAGTATTTGCTTAATCAGACTCTAAAATCAAGTGCTGTACTTCATGTTCAAATTTAAAATGTAGTATTGTCATAAAAACGGATGTGACTGCTCCTGAGACTAAAGCAACACATGCTTTGTATTATTGTGTAAATATTGTTAATGATTTACTTTTTATGTCTAATTTTCCTATTATTATTCCAGAATCCAGTTCCACAAACCGTCCCAAGTTACTCGGTTCCATCAGTTTACCCTCAACAGCCTGTAAGTCCCACAGCCACCAGTCAGTTTATTGCAAATGTGCTTTTGAGGATGTCCATGCTAGAAAAAAATATATATTAAAGAGTCTTAGAGAGGTCATCAGGTGAATGCAATACGTTTCCCATTACGTGTGTTAAAGTGTGACACGTCCAAAATGTCTGTAGTGAGGTCGTAGAGGAAAACACCTGCCATCTTCTCAAGCTGCTGAGTCGTGTGTCCTCCTTTTACAGCCAGGCTGAAACCTTCAGTTTGGTTGGACCTGGTTATTTTGGAGCTTCAGCCTGGACAGTTTTATTTAATCCAAGAAGTTAAAAACACGTACAGATGTGACACCTGTTGTGGTAGCGGTGTGATTGCATGGTGTGATGTCCTAGCTCGTAGCTGTATCCTCACGCAGTCTGAGAGAGAGTTGTGTCGTATCTGGTAGTGTTACTGTGGGAACAGGGTGCTGATGGTTGGAGCAGGAAAACTTCTTGACGTGTAAAGTAGCAGGGAAAAAACAATTTGATGAGGACTAGGAGCGTAGCAGCATCATGGCTGCCTTCACAATGAAGGTTGTCTAAATTTGTTGCAATCTGGCCACGTTGATGGAGGCTTTAAAACTAATGAACAGATGAGACAGAAAACAATGTATACTTTCCTTTGAGAAGAACACATTTTTCAAGCGGTGTGACTTAATGTAAAGTTGAGTTGATACATTCTGGATTAGCCCCCGGTCTGACTGAACTACTAATTTAACTCCTAATCCCAATCAGCACTTCATTATGGATTTATTTAGCCTAATCCTAAAAGTCGTCTCATTGCTCACATGGCATTAAAGCATCATTATCCATCAAGTACAAAATGGACTAAAGAGCAGTTCCTGTCTTTTTGATTCACTGTTTAAATGAATATTTATTTATTTTACCTTGCAGGGGTACCAACCTGTAAATATCTACCCCCCTCTATCTGGTATGGACATGAATCCCCCTCAGCCTGGTGTCAGCTTATACCCCCCTCAGCTTGGTACCAACATAACCCCCCCTCAGCTTGGTACCAACATAATCCCCCCTTCAGCTGGTATCAACGTGAACCCCCTTCAGCCTGCTACTGACGTGAAGCCCCCACAAACTGAGGTGCAAATGCAAACACACACAAATGAACCTTAAATATACAAAAAAACCAAACATGAAACCTAAACCTGTATTTGATTATTTGTCGTTTCACGTCTCTTCGTTCTAACTGCTGTTTCCAGGTTGGGCCTCCAACAGATCAGGGACCTCCAACAGCTCCGACATTCAGCTCCGCGTTCCTCTCCTCAGACGTTGAACCAACGTTTGAGCTGAAAGGATTCAGCTCTGCTAACCCCCTCAGTTCAGCCACGCCTTCCTACGATGTTCACAACTTGGATAAACTAAACTTCCTGTGAAGAAAACACTGAAAATTCCCGTAACGCTGATGTGACCTGTTATGTTAAAAACTCTTTGAGTTCACTCAGTTTTAGGGAAACTGTTTTTTATTTTTGTATGAAACTCAACTCTGGCTCTATCACCATGGTAACAAAGACTGACAGGATTACTTAAAAAAACCTCAAAATTTTTAATCAATAAACCAAATACCTTCTAAATGTAGCAAAGTATAATTCTAAATTTGATTAAATCTACTGTGTAGAGGAAGCTAATATTTGTTATAGGAGTCTGGAAGTTATTTTATAAGGTCATAATTTGCTGTTTTTGTTTTGTTTAAGCAGCTTCTTTAAAGTGATTACCTCTAAAATCACATGGTTGCTTTGGCTCTCATTGTACAGACATGTACGTCTTCCTAAAGGGAAAACACAAAAAGTATATTCATAAAATCAGACTATGAATTAAAGGTTGCGGGTAAATACATTCAGCTCTACTTGCCAACTAACCCTTAGCGTACTTGATATTTAGAAATCTCCTCAATCGTTTTATTTATTCTTTCTGTGGTTGCCATGTTGAGTCAGGGGATTGGGGCTCTAGATTTATTGTGCTCTTGCATGTGTTCAGGGTGAAGATACTCAGAGTCGTTGTAATCAGCTATAAGAAAACTACGAGTTTGAGTTTATGGATAAACTGGTTGAATATACTTTCAAGAATACCTCTCTGGAATTTGCATATTATTTTGTTTATATATTCTGAATATTACTCTGCCTGTATCAGTGTACTTAAAGCAATGTGCCGACTACTAGAACCAAAATATCTACTTGATAAACAAATATGCATACTAAACTACTTGTATTGTCTGTAGTGAATTTTCCAGTTTGTTTTGATTGTCCTATAGGGTTGTAGTTGAAAGTGAAGAAGTGGAGGGTGGATATAATCTATATGTGCATGAGATATAAACTAATTAAAACACATAACCGGACTGACTAATATGTTTAGACTGTTTTTAAGAAAGAATTCAATGCATTTTTCTCAGGTAAAACAAAGTGGACTGCCATATTCACAATTATTGAAGAATAAATGTATAAAATTCTGTTACATTATGAATGCATATGTTTATGTTTCCAGTGCCTTCAAAGAATGGATAATCTTTACTGTTGTTAATGTAAAGTGTTGGTTTATGTCGATGTTTTTTTTATATTATTTGTGCTGTTTTTGTATTTTATTACAAAGTCATAAAGTAAAATAAAAGATTTATTATACAAGTGTTGGCATTATCTGAAGAACTGTAATAGCACTGTGGGGAAATAAAGTTTAAACCATAAAATATATGTTTACAGTAATTGGAATTATATTTAAAAAAAAATCTAGATTATAACTGTATCCTGGGTATTTTAGTGAACAAATACCTGCATGAGTTTATATGTCTAATAACACTATTAAAAACCACAATTAATACAAAATTACAATGTACTTTTCTCTTTGCAGTTCAGATTAGTAACAACTATACATGATTAGAACTAACTGGATTATTCAGTTTTACTTGTTACATAAAGATTTTATCAACGTTTCTTTATTCATATTTTGCTTCCTGCAGTTTTTATGGACTGAAAAAAATTCTTGTATCTGAATAAATAGTGAAGCATTGTGTTAGGAAGGCTTCCTTTAATTTCAGACACGGAAAATAAATATGAATCTATGTAGCGGATTATAATTACAATATTTGCTTAAAATAAAGGTCTTTGCCCTTAAGGACTAATAAGTGATTCACTTAGGTCTTTTCAAGATGGCTACCATAAATGTCGCCTTGCACAGTCTGTGTCCGTTGAGCTCTGTTTCAGAGACCCCATCTTGAAAGAACCGAGTTAGCTTCATTTTCCTTCAGTGTACTTTATTTGCAAAGATTTAGTGTAAAATAGTGTCTTATCTTTCTCGTTCTGTTTACACATTAAGGTGTTTGACGGTTTTAATATGACCGGAACAAAAACTCTGTGAAATATGGTTACTGGTTTAAACCGGACGAATTGTTTTGAACCCAAAAGATGCTGCTACTGCTGCTGTTGTTTCTTAGCTCCTGTTTCTCTGTAGGTGAGTAACACTACAGTTAACATAATTAATCTAATCTTAAAGAAACATTTTATTGTTTGATACTGGTTCAGAATTTACGCTTTTCCTGTTTTATTTTTTGTTTCTGTTTTAGCGAAGGTTTGTTTTCTGTTTAGCTTCTAACTACATCCGCCATACAGAAAAACATTCAGGTTAATCAGGAGATGAGTGATATGCCTTTTGGTATTTGTGACTTTTATTCTTTTAAACAGGTTTGACCAGTTTTATTGTGTTTTCACTGGGCGCGACCAACTACGGAAGCCGATATGACATCGCGTTTCTGTAGTAATATTTTGAAACGGTCTGTCAGACAGACGCAGTGTTGCCAGATGAACTCAACTACGCTGCGGTATATGATTAAATAAGTTAACTACGCATATTAATTTATTTATTTAGGTGGGCACTTTTATGTAAAATACTATCCAGAATAGCACTTAATGATTTGGTCTAAAAAAACTAAAAGCAGTATTGGTCTTTTGAAAGCATGTAACTGTTCTAAAATGTAATTTACTTACTAGATACTTTTTGTATTTTCTGTATTTTAAACATATGCCACTAAAATTTATATCACAGTTAGTCAATAGTACACAAAAAGAATATTAACAGTTTTAAAATATAAAATGGTGGATTTTGTTAAAGTAAAATATTAATTTAAGCAAAACTGAATATTTAGTTCTTAGTCATAAACTTTTATTTGTATTACTATGTTTTTTATTTCTTTTTTTTTAGGCATTTCATTTGACAGTTATGACGAGGAAGACTATGGGAACACGCATAGGATGAGGGTGGCAACATGGGTTCATTCCATCGAGTTCGTACCTAAACACAGCTCAGAGGAGACGGTCCTGTGGAGACGAGACAACCCTGAACCCAGCGGGGACACCAGGCGGAGGATGTCCGGCAGCTACTACCTGATAAACAGCGTGACCCAGAGAGACAGCGGCAACTACATCCTAAAGGACAGAGACGGGATGATTCTGTCCAGGAAGACCGTTGAGGTTGTAGGTGAGGATCTTTTTTATATTTCAGGGCCTTGATATTTGACCAAGTATACATCGTTACTCAACAAGAGAAAACAACTGGCTACAGCCTTACACGTCAAGGTTTAACAAATGTATAAATATTCAAATATATATAAAATGTCAAAATAATGACATTTCTATGACTTCTGTTTTTTTGAAAACATTTAAAAAATGTGCAATATATGAAAAAAATCAAGGGTTGTTTTTAAAATATATATATTTTTCTCCATCAGCTAAGAAAGAGACTCGTTCTCTGAGTTCTGGTGAACGTCTCAGCATCACTTTTGACCTGGAACCAAACTCCTGCAACATTTACTTTGCCCCACAAGGTGGATATGAGACCGTGATCGTTTATAAAGGAGAGCTGCAGCAGCTGTCTGGCTGCTCAGGGATTGAGCTTTTAAATCCATGTGGGATTTCCCAAGATGCCGTCCAAACGTCGTGCGGTGGAAGGTTTGAGGTGAGGGATCATAATGACGACGAGGCCTTGGTGGTGTCGGTGGAAGTGGCGCGTAAGAAGCCTGCATGTTTCATGAGATTTCAAAATAAGATTTCACCACAAATATAAAGAAAACTATAACATAGTCTAATATGAGAGACATGCTGATTAAAAAATATATACATTTTCAGCTCAGGTCTCGTTCTCATACGTCCTGTATGGTGGAGGCGCCTTCGCCTTTCTCTTCCTGAGCTGCTGCCTGAAGAACTGCTGTGCTGCAAAGAGCTCCAGGGAAAAGAGCCGTCCTGAACCCAGAGCTGCTGCTGCTGAAGAACCAGCTGATCTACCTGAGGTGAACATGCTCGCCACTGAAGCTGCTCATACCGCTGCGTCATTGTGTGACTTGAGAGTCTGTGTGTGATTAAAACTGCAGTATGACCACGAGCCTGCTGGAGGGAGGCCACACCACCCCAGTGAGACGCTCCACCCCGCCCAGCCTCTTTCTGCACCGACCGGCCCGCTGGTTAGTGTGTGTTGTGTTTTATTGATTCTGAATCTCTTTCCCGCTCTCCACTGATTTGTGTCGTTTCACTCTGCAGATACACAGTCCCCCAACGAACGTGCCGCCTGCTTACTCCGAGGTACGAAAATATGGTCTTATTAATGTGAGCAAACAAAATAAATCAACTATAATTAATCAGTAATAACCTGAATCTAATTAGATATTAATTTGTAATGAACTTGATATTAGCAGCCGTTGTCATCTCCTCCAGTTGACTCCAAAGCAAGGCTTCATGTTTATATAAAAACCTTGTTTTAGTCGTTTTTGTATACGGTTTGTTTAATCTAAAATATTTGATTATCATGATGTGGCTGTTAAGACATTAAAATAATCAAAGTGTCCAATTTAGATGGTACTCCTGAACTATGTGTACTGCTAGTGAAGAGCGCTGTCCGGCCACTCCACTTCCTCACCTCAGAGTTTCGTTCTTTTTGCACACCTCAACATGATGTTGAATAATAATCCATTTTTGACATTATTGAATAAGTTCAGAGTTGTCCGTGTGCGCAGCAGGATGCATCAAAACCAAATCATAACCACCAGACCTTCTCACCAAACATAGAAAACAAACATGTTCAAATCCATCCGGTATTTCTCTGTTCCTGTACAGCAACAGTAATGATGTTAATACAAGAGCCCACAGTGAAAGGTTTGTTTTTCTCTTCAGGTTATAGATCCAGCAGAGCAGGTGGACCCTCAGACGGTCCTGATGAACCCCGACTACGAGCCTCGGTTTGAACTGAAGGGGTTTACGTCCAATTCTCCGCTGAGCTCCGACTCTCCTCACCATGAGGTTTACACCTCAGACAAACTCAACTTTCTCTGACTGACTTAAAAAGAGCCATATATATATATATATATATATATATATATATACAACTGTTGGCTCCTCCGAGCTAAGAAATAATCTGGGACATCACCGCCAGCAGAAAAACAAAGTAGTTGTTTTTTTTAAGCTATTTTTGTGACCACTTTAGGATCGTGATGAATTAACTTTGTTATCTCTGTAAGCTCATTTGAGTTGCTTTATTGTTTTTACTAATTTAATGTTGATCTTTTATCAGTCGTTACACATTTCTGTGTAAAGTACGCGCTGCGAAGTGATAGTCAGGTAAAAACAAAAACAATACAAGAAACAAAATGGACACTATATATATCATTAGTTACTGTGTCCTTCAAAATAAAAAGTTAGTAAAAGTCAGGACCAGAAGCCATCGTGCACATGAGTTCGTTTAATTGCTGAAACAGCCGAAGTGGCTGAAAACGGATCAACGATGGCAACGCTCATAAAAGAGCCGTTTGAGACTCCTGTCTGTTTGGATGTATTGATACATATTTAACTTTAGACATGTTGAATTACGTTTGCAGATCAAAGAATAAGTCAGGTTGAAATGGTACCAGTTTACCAGAAGTTTTACAAGAGCTGTGTTTGAATGAGTTCCACCGCCCAGCTGCATCCCTGGTATTTATTCTTGAGAGTCGTCCTGCTTCGTCTTCCTCTTTTCTTTACGTTTAGCTGCAGGCTCATTGTTCCATCTCAACGTCTTCTCGATGGTCTGATTCTGCCTTATATGTCCTGACCGCAGCCAGCCTGGTGCACAGTCCTGCGACTCGAGCTTCCACGCAGGTTTTCTGTGGGGTCCTTCAACGTCAGGGAGTGCATACCCACATTTCCTTTTACATCCATATATCTGGAACTCTACAGGGTTAAACCCCTTAAAGCTGCACTTTTCATTTAGGCCAGGATAACCGTTTTAAAGTTTTATTTCATATTTTATCATGAGAACATTTAAATCGATTTCAGCAGGTTGAAAGCTACATTTCATGAATATTTTTTAAGCTTGCTTTAAACGGTGTCCCCAGAGATTCACTAATACCTTTGAATACCTCACTGCTTTCACTAGCATTTTAGTTTATCATCTGAGAAGCCAAGTAAATAATTGTTTTTATATTTGCAGCTGTCAAAAATGAATCTTTTGTTTCAGACCAGCCAAACTGTGAATTTTTTCCATGTTCACAAATGCCATCTCACCTGTGTAGAGCCATATTTATACAAAGTATGAACACTGTTTGATATTGTCTGTAATTCTTTATATACAGCTAGTCCCCGTAGTTTGTTCACATAAATGTGTTTTTTTTTAATTTTAGATTAATTGACCTTTAAAAAATGCAAACCCATGAGCTGATCAAGATGAATTCAAAGCAGGGTCCAAATTGAAAGATGAACATTACGTTTTTATTGAACAATCGGCTTAAACGTGTGGAGTTTTTAATAAAAGGTCAGTAATGACAGTAGAAACAAGTAGTGTGGTCTCTGAGTCGTTGTAACTAGATAACCCCGTTGTGTCTGACAAAATGTACCAAAGAGCTCAAGTTTGTTAGACTGTTCAGCTTTTAAGTGCCTCTACAAACGTCCAGTCCATTAAAGACCGGACCGAGTCTTTGAACCTCTTCGTGTTCAGGTTTTTAAAAAATATCTTCCATGCCTGGTTTGTCTCTCACTCCTGCTACTGAGTGATTTCCTCCTCAAAAACAATACAAACCAGAGGAGAAGCGTCTTTTACTGCCTCTCCCGAGTCTGGATGTTGATTTGATTTGGCGTCCATCAGCGTGAACACACGACCATCCAGTTTCATTCTGGCGTTTGGTTTCTTCCTCTGATCCTGAGATGTTTGCCGGCTGGTGTCAGTTGTTGTGTGTGTGGCAGAGTCTGCATTTGTGTTGAAACTACTCTGGGTTCAAACCTTTAAGTCCATGTAGAAAATTACCATTGCTTTAAAATGATACAATTTGACCCAGCCTCTATACAGTGCAGGATGTCCTCTTTGTTTAACTTAATGCGTATTAATATGTTCTGATAAACCTGTTATGATCAAATAATTTGAAATGGACAATTTGGTTCCATTTTGGTGAATCCTATTAAGATTTATACCGGCAGCTTTTTCTCCGCATTTCTTTTAATGAATTGTGGCGTTAAAATACCTCCACATGTCCTCGCTGCACTTCTGTTAACTTTAAGCTCAAAGTGTGTTACTGTAAATCACAAATAAAGTGAGCCTTTCATTGTGTCCAACATTTTTACTTGCATAAAAAAACAGTAGCTCAATAATGAAGGTGAAATTTACTTTAAAACAAAAGTAAAACTTGAACGAGGAATAGTTACTGTATGTATTTGTACTGTATTTGCACGTATTTCTAGGTGTTAGCGTGCACGATGTAGTGTTGCGTAAATGTCTTTGACTAATTTGAATTATTTCAGAAACATAATGTGACAAATAGTGAAAACATGTTCCTGTGTACTGTCATTGTGTGTCAGGTTAAATAAAGCTCTTCCACCCCGAGATGTTTTTGTTCCGTTCTGTCCTCTGGCCTAAAACTTTCCACGGCCACAAAGACAAAAGCTTGCTAAAGCAAATATATTCCTTCCTGACACACCTTTAAATTTAATAAAGACCTAAATCTTAAGTTGTAACTGAGGCTTTTGTGTTCGGAAGAGAAACGGACTCAATGTGAGGACCGAGACAGCTTTAGTAAGGGTCTGTAATGACATTCTGCAAGCAAATGACTTTAGGTCAGTCTGTGATCCTGGTACTCTTCGACCTTACCGCTGCATTCAACACTGTTGATCACAACATCCTTATGTCACGGCTAGAACACTGGGTTGGGATTACAGGTGAGGCGCTAGAATGGTTCCGTTCATATCTGAGTGACAGGAGTTTTTGTGTTAACTTTGGCCATCATTTATCTGCTTCTGTCCCTCTTTCCTGTGGGGTCCCGCAAGGCTCCATTTTTGGACCCCTTCTGTTCTCATTGTATCTGTTCCCCTTGGGGTCTATCCTGAGGAAACATGGTATTTCGTTTCATTGTTACGCCGATGATTCTCAAGTTTATCTGCCTTTAAAACCCAACAGTTCCTGCTCCATCCACCCTTTGCTAAAATGTCTTGATGACATCCAGACATGGATGGCTGCGAGCTTCTTGAGTTTTAATGATCAGAAGACTGAGGTCATTGTGTTTAACCCAAGCTCTACCACTGTCACTGATCCTGTAAACCTGCACTCCCTTCAGCCACATCTAAAGCAGTCGGTTACCAATCTCGGGGTAGTGTTAGACTCAGACTTTAAGTTTAATAAACAGATCAACTCTGTTCTACAAAAAAGTTTATTTCAGCTAAGGCAGATAGCAAAGCTTAAGTCCGTTTTGTCCAGAGAAAAATTAGTCCATGCATTCATTACAATCCGGCTGGACTACTGTAACTCACTTTATGTTGGGATTACTCAGGCTTCACTTTCACGTCTCCAGCTTGTACAAAATGCTGCAGCTCGACTACTAACAGGAACTCACAGGTTTGAGCACATTACTACGGTTCTGTCCTCCCTTCACTGGCTTCCTGTGCGTGTCAGAATCTATTTTAAAATTCTCCTGCTGACATTCAAGTGCATCAATGGCCTCACACCCTCATATCTCTCCGACCTTCTTCATCCCTAGGCTCCTTCTCGGGCTTTGAGGTCATCAGACCAGATGCTTTTGGTGGTACCAAAAACCAGGCTGAAGCTCAGAGGAGATCGAGCATTTTCAGTCGTGGGCCCTAAACTCTGGAACAATCTGCCCGTCAGCATTCGACAGGCCACCTCAGTCTCGACTTTTAAAACTCTCCTAAAAACACATCTATACTCATTGACATTTAACACAGGGTGATCAGATTTAGATTTAGAATTTCATTGATTCTGATTCTGTTTATGCTTTTGTTATTCCTATTTAACACAAGGTCATCAGATCTGATTTAGTATTTCATTGTTTCTAATTATGTTTTCGGTTTTATATTTTTATTCCATGTGCTGTAAATATATCTTGTTACTTTTTATTTGATGTTGTGATATTTTTGTTAAGCACTTTGGTAACAGTTTCTGTTTTAAATGTGCTCTATAAATAAATCTGACTTGACGGCTCATGCCATTTGGAAACGAGAACTTCTTATGAACGAGTTCCTCCTTTCAACTTTTAACAGATTCTGAATCAGTTTTGCATCGTGTGAATGTTTATGAAGCATTCACACTATAGGGATTCATTTTTCTGCCGTACGTTTTTCGACATCTTTCTTGTTCACAATTTTTGTGCTATTTCAACAAATCATAAATCAAAACGTTCAGCTCGTTCAGGACAATCCTATGACTTTTGGTTTTGGTGCAACTTTAGTTGTTAGAAATATTTAGCCTTTTCTGCCATTTTTTTTCTCAGAAAATGAATTGAGCTCTTTTTACATCCTTCAAAGCTTCAGATGTGTTTACAACCTTTTACTGCTCCTTTCACACTTTGTTCTGGTTCAGCTTATTTTAGCTCCTTGTGCAAATAAGAAAAAATTCAGCTACTTTCAGTTTTTTTTTCAGCTGTTTTGTACACCTTTCTGCTTTATTCTGCTAATTACAACATTTTGTGCTTCTTCTAACTTCTTTCTGCTAATTTCAGCTTGTTGTGCTCCTTTCAGCTTATTTCTGCAAGTTTCAACTATTTCTGTTATTTCATCTGTTTTATGCCAAGTTGAGTTTTTTCAGATAATTCCACATTTTTTGCACTCATTTAAACTTTTTTCTATCTAATGCAGCTAAAATGTGCTCTCTTCACTTCCTTCTGGTTAATTTAAGCTTGTTTCTACCTTTTTAGCTACTATTCAGCTGTTTTTTTGGTGTTTGCAAATTTCTGCTTTTTTCAGATAATTTCTACTTGTTTTTGCTCATTTATGCTTCTTTCAGCCTAATCAGGCACAATTGTGCTCTCTCCACTTTCTTCTGGTAATTTAAGCTTCTTAATGCCTTTTCAGCATTTTTTTTTTTGCTAATTTCAACTTTGTAGCTAAACCAAATTCAGCAAATATGTCGGTTTTTTTAATTTTTTTGAAGATGCCATTTTTGTCAATGCTCAGCTTGTTGGTTTGACTGTAATGTTTTTAGCTGCATTGTAAGAAAGGTTTCAAGTGAGCTGAAGCAGTAATTTAAAACCTAACCATGAACAAAGATCAGTGGAGCTAAAATAAGATGAGATATTGTTTTGTTTTCTTGCTGTATCTTGAACTTTACATGTTCTTTAATCTTGTGATTTTGTCAGAGATGCAATAGTAGACTTTATTTTTTACTTTGGCACGCGTCGTGTTGGATGATCTCAGATGGAGCAGCAGTGGAGGGTGAAAATTGCTGCTGCACAGTTGGAAGATCACATCAACTTCCAGATGAATGAGCTGAAGGACTGAAAAGGCTTATAAAGCAAGGCTGCCCTTCATTGTGTGCTATTTTTAAATAAGTCCTAACTTGAGATCTCCACTCACGTCTCCAGGCCAGCCGCTCGCTCATAAATGTTATTCTCACACAAGTCAGGATGGCAAATGTACAAATCGACATCGTTTGATATTACTGGTCCCAATTTATTTGTATGATCATTTCTGCTCTCTGTATCTGAGCTGGAGTCACATTTTGTGCATACCTTACAGCAATTATTTGCTAATGGATCTCAATTAATTCTGCAGGGTTGCTTGTAAATGCAACGTTAAGTCTGGACCTTCTGGTCTTTACATGCCAAGTCAAACACGGTGTTGAAGAGCTGGACCATCAATTTAAACTCGAGGCTAGAAGCGCCTCAGCCCCCATTTATCTGCTTTAAGGGCGCTGTCGTGTTGTATTTTTGGAGCCAGACGGGAACGTGAGGATGAATGTTTTTCCCACATTCCATCACTTTTTAAAGCATTCTATTTGAAAATATGGCAGCAACGTAAGAACTACTGAAATCCCCAAAGTTCATGCTTAATAATCCAGGTATAAAACCCAACAATGTTCAGTAAATTCATCTGGACGTTTTTTTTATTTCTCTTTTTTGCTGAGACGTTTCGTCCTTCATCCAAAGGACTTCCTCAATCTGAGAAGTCACCAAACAAAACTGATTCCCACAAACAGCATACTCCATAGAAAACCATCCAGATGACCTGACTGAACATTGTTGGATTTTATACCTGGATTATTGAGCATGGATTTTGGTGTTTTGAACTACTTTGGTATGACTGTCTCAGAGGAGTTGACGAGGGGAGAGGGCGGCCCCAGAGGCCATTTTAGCACCAGAAAATTGTTTTTTTTTTTCCCCACTATGGATGCTGTTTGTGGGGATCAGTTTTGTTTGGTGGCTTCTCAGATTGAGGAAGTCCTTTGGATGAAGGATGAAACGTCTCAGAAAAAAAAAAAAAAAAAAAAAGAACAACCTGACTGAACATTGTTGAACTACTGAAATCATCATAACAACTGGGAAAAGATTTGAGGTGTATTTTAATTAACCTTTAAGTCAGGAAAAAGTCCGATTCTCACATGGACCTGTTCTGCAGGCAGCCTACAGGGGGCGCCTTTCAGCTTATGACACTGGATGAGCTGAACACAGAACTGAACAGCAAGTCAGAGAAATATCCCTACTCAGACCTTAAGCACACGACACATCCACATTGTGTTTTAGATTAGTGAACACACACGTGTTGTTCTGTCTTGCTGACAACCAACTCTTCATCCATCCATCCATTATCTTAACCAGTTTCTTCCTTTTTGGGTAATGGGGGTCACTGGTGCCCATATCCAGCAGTCACTGTACGAGGGCCTCCTTCAGGTCAGATATCGTCTCCTGTGGTTAACGTGTGAGCACAACAAACTTTAGATTTTTAAAGTGTTTCACTCATTTTACAGTCTCTGCTTCCTACTATGAAGTTTGGCATTTTCTTTATGAGGGTGAAGAAAGAACGTCTCTGATTAAAAATGTCAAAGATTACTTTATTTCTCAAGTTTGTAACAGATAAAAGAAAGCACAAGTCGCCACTCTTCTTGCGCCTGCATCGACACCAGCTCTGTCCCGGTCTCTAATCAGCTTTCGTCCTCTCCACGTCCCTCACCCGCCTCTCCAGCCTGCTCAGCCGGTGCTCCACGGCGGAGGACTTATCGAAGCCAGTCGTGAGCAGAGTCAGCAGGACGAACACCAGCACCAGGACCCCCACTCGGGTCGCCGTGGTCTCTGCGGAGGCGTGCTTGTCGGTCACGATCAGTCCGAAAAGCCAGAGCCCCAGGACCATTTTCACCAGCCAGAACACCTGCCTGAAAACGCCGATCAGGAGGCGGAGAATGATGGCCAGCACCCAGTACCCGATGAGGCCCACCAGACCCCACTGGGCGACGGCAGTCACACCCTCCGGAGTGAAGCGTGGCAGCGTCAACGCAACTGAAAAGGCAGGAAATCCAGTTTAGGCATATTTTCACAGAACAACGAGTAAAAAGAACAAACAACCTTTCTTGTAGAGAGGTAGTAAAAAAGGAGAAAGCGCTCACACCTACGAGGGTGTGGCAGACAGTTCGCCTGCAGAAAGGACTGCATATTTTCACTCGCACATAAAACTTTCAATGCACATTTCGCACACAAAGGGGCAAAAAGCAGAACACGAAAGCACTCTGCCTCAGCTGCAAGTATCCTGGTACCCACCATCGAATCCCGTGACCCTGAGGATCTCTGCCACGTAAACGGCGATGACATTCAGGCCGCTGGCAGCTCCTTCGGCCAGGAATCGGATCACCGTTTCAAAAAACTGTGGGAGGGGAGAGGATTTGTTTACCTTTATCTCACAAGTCAGCAATGAAGAGAGATGACATTCTGATCGTGCAGAGACAAATGAAGAGAGTGTGCAGGCAGCTACAGGACCACTGACAGCAGCACAAACCCATAAATCTGGAAATTTTTGTGTTGCACCTCCATAAAGAGCTGCTGTGCGGTTGATTTGACAGCTGGAGAACACCCCACTGTACGAGCTTAAAGTGCCTCCCCACCCTCCTCTCTTTCAGCCTTGTCCAGCGGGGTCTAGGATATCCTGGATAGTCGGACGGGGAACTTATCTGCACCTGTTGCTCTGCACACACACACAAGGACTGTCCCGTGTGTCAGAGCACGAGTCAAACATCTGTGGCTCCATATCAGCTTAAACTCATTTCCATACGCGAAATGTTTCAGTGATGGAGCTGCAGCTGGACCGTCAGGTGTTCAAACCAAAAGTCTGGCTCTGAAGAGAAACATTTAGAGCTAGAGAAACGGCATTTTCTGCAAAACAGTAGTGTGACTAATGAGTATTGAATGACGAGCAACAAGCTCGACAAGCTAAAAGAAGCCGACCACTCGCAAAAACTACCAAAATGCCAACGAAAAGCTGCTGTGGAGTACAGCTGGCAAAAAGACAAAAGTAGCAAAAAGCTGGTAAAAAACTAAAAACAGCCAAATGGCAGCTAAATGCAGCAAAAGGCTAGTTAAAAGTACCAGAACTGTAGCTAATCTCTAGCTGAAATTAGTGACACCCTAAATTAAATTTAAACATAGCAAACAACGACAAAAATAAAGCAAGTAACTCGAAGCAGATTTTAAAAGGTGAACGTTTTCGAAAGAACTGAAGAAATCTTATAGTTTTTTTAAGGAGTAAAAACATGTAAGATGAAAGGTCACACCTGTACAACAAGCTGAACCTTTTGAGATACAAAATGTCTAAATGAGCACAAAGCATGCAGTTGTCGTTAGATTATAAAAAAATTAAACAGGAAAACAAATGCTGAATCAGCGTTCATACTATTCAGGTGCGTCAAAGCTGATCTGAGGATCCGGTCCTAAAGAGTGAATTTAATGCAGCAACTTTATCTGTTAGACCTTGAAGGAACGTTACTCTGCTGCAGTAATTTTACACGGAGGTGATCAGAGTGCAGAGCTGCTGCTTTTGCTCTGATTGAACAACAGTTATTCCAAGATGTTTTTCTTTTATTGCATTTTATCGGTTCAAATGTGGAGATACTAAGTAGGGAGGTTTTATAGCAAATGGGAGTTACATAAGGAGTACCTGTGCCAAGAATTGTTGCACACCCCCTGCATGTTGCCAGCTGAGTCACAGTGAGCTACTTATGATTTTGCCAGCACAAAAACAAAACCTTACCTGCACAAATTCATGGGTGAAAGCTGCAGCTTGACATGTAAATAACACGTGTGCTCCTACATTCTGCTACAGGCGCGACATGAGCTTAAACTGACCCCCCATTCCCCAGGACGGCACGTTAAAGACACCCCCAGGAGGTTCCTTACCATGGCCATTGTGTAGACGTTCTCCTGACCAAGCAGTGACTCTAGAAACGGCACTGCACTCTGAGAAGGAAGCCGCAGCAGGATGGAAACAGATGCATGGTGGTGTTGGGGGGGGGGGGTATGTGTATGCCATGAGTGTGTGGGGTATAGAAGAAATTAGGGCAAAGCAGATGAGGGGGTCAGGAGGAAGGTTAACAAGTTAAGGAGAGCAGAAGGAAGAATGTGTGTGAAGGAGTAGGTGGAGAGAGGCGACAGCTGAAAATTAGTGATCAGGTTTTTGATCCAGTTAGAAAAATCAGGAATTAGTGCTGCACGTATTTTAAGAAATATTACCGTTATCGCAATATCGATGTGCACCGCGGATCGCAATACATCGCAAACACCAAATGTACGGCAATAACGTATTTGACCATCAGACAGACCACCTAAATGCTCAAAGACAGAGAATTTATCCACAAAGGACGACTTGGATTACTGTAGTTAACGCCACAAATCGAGTCTGAAACACATGCAGAGTGCGCTGCCCGCGTGTCATACACAACTAGGAGAGCACCGATTGCAGTTTTCTGGCTGATCACCGAGTTCTAAAAAGCCCGACCTGCCGATTCCAATTTTGGCCGATACGATTTAGTTTTATAAGCAACACTGTCAGGTGCTATAAGGTCGCAATGCACCTTTAATTTTCCAATATTATTTTTCTGAAAAACATACCCTTGAACAATATCCACTTGTTTTAACTGGCCATGAGGTAGTGCTCTGAAATATAAATGAAGTTCAGACAATTGTTAAAACTAGAAGAAATCGGTAAAATCGGTTTCTCATGCAATTATTTCCGTTTTTCCAAAATTAAGGAAATTGGGGCCGATTTATTGGTGCACCCCTATACACAACCTCACATCATCTGCAAAAGAGATGAGGATCACATGCCCCCAGGTGGATACATGGCTGTTATATTTTTGTGGCTTGTTAAACATTTTGTTTGAATATTCTTTAGCCAGATGTGTGACCGTGACTAAAGACACCAAATATATATAAAAAAAGCAATATTCAGTCTTTATTTGACATCCTCAGCATCTTTGATTGTAAGGACTTAAGGAATATTAAGGCCTATATTAGTCAAAAAGTGCCCTTTTGCAAACTTATACAAAAGGTAGCACTGAATTTATTTAATCTTTCCTCAAGAGTCCGTACTAAAATGGCGTTTTTAATAGTTTACGAAACTCAATTTAATTTATCTGCATAATAAAAATCTTTTATACACCAAGACTCACCAAAGTGTCCTCATCAGTGCCTGAATTTGAACAAACAACTCATAGTTATTGGCAAAAAATTTTTAAAAAAATGCTGATTTTGCTTATTTATTACAAATAATGCTGTAGCCTTTTGGTACTGGATGATGTGCCTTTAGTGGTACATTTATCATATATGATGCAGATATACAAAAAAATCTGAAAAAGATTCTGAAATTTATGGTTTTAAGTTTCCAATTCCAGACACGTCACTAACAGGGGAGCCAAGGGTGGCCAGCCTCCATGTGGGAACCACATGTGGGCCAAATAAGGCCCTTGGACCAGAAGAAGCCCGTGATCCTCATCAGTTTGCCCTTGATGTTCTTATACAAAAATAAGTCAACTTGAAATCAATTTTTTTTCCCCATTTGTTGATAAAATTATCCTCAGATGTAAACAGAGTCAGAGAACAATGGAATCAGAGCCACAAAGAGAAAAGATCTCTCTTCAGCGAGGAAAAAAACAACACAAAACGACGACTGTCACCAGGAAGGTAGCAATTTGGGGGAGGAACTCACGAATACTGTTCAGTAAGAGATGGTGCTATGAGCTGTGCCAAAACATTCCAAACTCTCATGGGAGAATTTCCTTAAACAATTGCCAAATTTACATTTGCTGTTCTCCAATGCAATTCTGGCAAAAACCTTGATTGGTTGGAATTGCATTGTCCCCAGAACAGCCATTTAATGATGGAGAATTACGTTAAACAGATTAAATTCAAAACAAAACTTTGAAAATTTGGGTACGGTCAGCTTTGGTGGCTTTAAAAAATGAAGCACCACTGGTTTTGATCATAAAGACTGTAATGGTGATGCACATGGTGAGTGTTGTGAGCACTATGGCGGCAGGAAAAAAAAAAGTAGATTTATCGCATCAGAATATTATCGCGATATTCAATAATATCGCGGTTATAAGAGTTTTTCTTCTAAAATATCGTGCAGCTCTAATAGGAATTAAAGAAAGCTGTTTAGAGCAAATATGTAGGAAGAAAATGGAGCCCAGTGAGGAGCTGCAGCTGTACCTCAGCGGTGGATCGGATCACGTTGGTCCCCAGAACCGACTCTGCATACCGCTGGAGCTCCTGGCAGGTCCCGGTGATGACGGTGCGCAGAGTGACCACCGGCGGGCCCTCGGAGCCGGCCTGCTGGGCTCCGGAGCGGCTCAGCCCCACGAGGAGGACCAGGGCGCAGGCCAAGAGCCAAACCCGAGCCATGATGGTTTGAAAGAGGAGGAAAGTGTGATGATGAGGAAGAAGGCGGAGCAGCAAAAATCAAGACTTAAAAATGGCTTCTGTTGGAGGGAGGCGACGGAGAGGAGTCAAATGCAAGACTCCAGGTGATTCAAGGATCCCGTTCAGCAGCTGGTGTTGGTCCCAGGCAGATCTAAATGATTGGATGACACCGCTCCTTCAAGCAGGGGCTATTTCTGGTTTCAGCACGAGTCCAAATCTGATGAGCAGCAGCGAGCGCTCACAGTTCATGTGGTCAAAAGAGTAAAAATGTGTATTTTTAAAAAAAAGTTTTCTTTATTTTAATGATTGGGTGAAAAAGCAGCAGCGACGCGGTGACGCTGAGAGCCCGATTTAAACTAAAGCTTCTTATTTGGCTCCGAGCTGCACAAAGCGCCACTTTCTCAGAGCTCCCCCGGTCTCTGATCCTCACAGAAGCTCTGCTGAGGAGGATTATGTTACAAGACGACCCCCGAATAAAAGCAATTTAAAAAAACTCCTTCCTGGTTTCCACTCCCTTCCTACCAGCGCTTTCAACGAGCTCTTTCCATTCGCGTCTGGAGCCACCGTGAGAAGGGGGAGGGGGCGGAGACGCAAATGTACAGTAGTCAACAGAGCGTTGCATCATGGGCCTTGTAGTTTAATGACTCTGGGTAAACGCGAGGATCACTCGCTTAGGTTTTAAGACAGAAAAACGTTTGAAAATTAATTAAATGCACAACGTTTCTTAAGGGACTATACGCCGCATGCAGCCTTTCAAACTATGATTATAAATTACTGAATAGCGACGAAATTGTAGTCGTTTTTAGTTAAAATACGAAAATGCCGCCCACTAAGCGCGATCACATTAAATATCGCGAGATTTCACCCTTGGCGTGTCTGCGGTGAATGACTCTCCGCTACCCCCACGTCGTTTTTGACTGAGCTGTAGCCATTTTTGTACTGGCGGCCATCTTGAATTATGTTTACTTCTAAAATTAATCATTTGCATGTTTTCATCCAGTGTTTACATTTTAAACCTTTATTGAAAATTGCCCAGTAGTTCATGAAACATTTTATTAATGAAAAGGAACCCTGCCAAATTTGGACATCTGTAAAACTGGCTACATTTTGTAGTTTTTTAGTCAGTAGGCATCTTGACTGGGCTCTAAAAGTTAATCAGTTGTAGATGTACATTTAAAGATGTTTTCCTAATAGTTTCATAAAAATTCATGAGTGGATCGTGAGATATTTTGCTAACAGTCTGAGCTGACTATGGCAAAAAATGTAAACAAAGATCTTGATCAATCTGTTAGTGTTTAGAGTGTTGGAGATGATTATCAGCTACTACCACACCAAATTTCAGGTGAATATCTGAAAATTTGACATTGTTATAACATTTGTTTTCTAAAGTTGGCAGTGGCGGCCATCTTGGATCAGTTTGACTCCAAACTATCGGTTGTAGATTTGCATCCAATGATTTCTTTCTGCAAGTTTCATTTAAAATCACTCAATAGCTCATGAAATATTTTGCTAACAGACACGCAAAACCAGGTAAAAATATATTCATGTGCTTTTGTTTCTTCAGTGGCGACAATCAGAAGCAGCAGTTTTGATATAAGTTTAATCACTAGCAGAACTTTGACCAAACCGAACGAGATTTCTTTTTTTCTTAAAAAAGGAACATTTACAACAAACATAAAACACTTGCATGAACTCTGCAGCACTAAAGGAAATGTTTTGTCTCTTTTTCTGTCCCCTTGAAAAGCCTGTTTTTAAATGAAAGCACACAAATGCACCACAAGTTTCTTTCAGTTCCTGATGAAATGATTCTTTCTGCTCCAATAAACACCACCAAAGCTGTGGATGCTCGAAGGAGTCGTGGTTTAAAAATATAAATATTAAAGTCATTTAGTCAGAGCATCCCTGAACGCATCATGTGACTTCACATCGACAGCATCCTGCCAGAGACGAGAGCTTCAGGTGCAGTTTTGTCCATGTCTTGTTTGACCGCCCCTCTTCGTTCTGAGCGTAGAGAGAAAGAGAGAGCGTGGTCGTGGATTTATCCGATGTAAATGCGATGGAAGTCGTTGGCGCCGAAGGCGGCGTTGCACTTGGGGCATTTCCTCTGGCGGGTGTCGTAGCGCGTCTTGACGCACTCGAAGCAGAAGACGTGGAAGCACTTTGTGAGGACGGCATCCTTCACCCGAGAGTTGCAGCACGGGCACGTCAGACGGGCCTGGGGGACACAGAGGGACAGAACGGTTGGAAAATTAAACTCTGAAGGTCTTCCTGCTCGCAGAGTTAGAAGACTAAATTAATGTCAGTTTCAGTCTGCTTCTTGCTGATACTTAAGGAGCTCGCAGGATCAATGGAAACACAAAGCACGTTTTAACTTGGACACCCGGTAAACTCACCTTGTATTCACTAATTTCTTCGTTCAGGATATCGTCTCCGTTGCTGATTTTCTCAGCAGGTTTCTTGGCCTTCTCGATCTTTCTCCTGAGTTTGGAGATGTCCTCCTGAAATAAAAAAATCATTCAACATCTGAAAAAAGGCAAACTCTGCCGACCAGATTTTACTGCGCGATCATGACCACAGTCCTGTTACATGGTAACTGATGTTGTTCCCACTATTTAAAAACAAACTGCAGCACAACTAAAATGAAACAAAATCTGCTCAGCTGTTTCATTAATTAGAAGGACAAAAAAGATAAACAATAATATACACATTAACATTAAAGATACTCAAAAAGGTAGTAGACTACTAAAAACAAATGACTAGAGAAATTGCGTTTCTAGAAAAATGCAGTGCGATGCATACTGCTGAATGATTTTAGCTGACAGCTACCGAAGAAGTTGAAACCAGGCTGAAAAGGTTTCAGCGCTGAACAGTTCAGCTGACATTTGCTGAAAGCAAAAAAATAAAAGCAGGACGCAGAGGAAAAACAGCAGAAATTAGTAGAAAAAGCTGAAATAAAGAGAGAGGCTGAATAGATTAAAAAAATATCTGAAATAAGAAACAAAGAAACTGAAATGAGCAGAAAAAAACTGAAATTGTCATAAAAGGTTGAAATCATTAGAGAAGCCAAAAAGGCCAAAATAAAAAAAAGGCTACAATTAGCAGAAATGTACCTGAAAAGCAGCTAAAAAGCAGAAAAAAGCAAAGAAGCTGAAACAAGCACAAAAAGCTTTAACTAGTAGAAAGAAGCTAAAGAAAATTGAAGAAAGAAGCTGAAATGAGCACAAAGAAGCTAAAAAAATATCTGAAGCAGAACAAAAGCTAAAATGAGCAGTAAAAGGTTTTAAACAGCAGAGAGGGTTTGAAGCATGTGTATTAATATTTAATTCTTTCTGACTGAGTTTATGTATTTGGTTATTATTCTGTGACATTTGACACAAGGTGATCTGATTTAGTATTTCATTATTTCTAATTATTTGTGTTTTATATTTTTATTCCATATGCTGTAATTATATCTCGTTACTTTTTATTTGATGCTGTGATCTTTTTTCTCTTTTGTTAAGCACTTTGGGAACAACAAAGTCCATGCTCAATAATCCAGGTATACAATCCAACATTTTTCAGTCAGGTCATCTGGACAGTTTCTTTTTTTTGTGCTGAAACGTTTCGCCTTCGATCCAGAAGGCTTCATCAGTCAAGGAAACACACAACAAAACTGATTCTTCCCTCAACAGCTTACTCCAAAGTGGAACAAACCAGATATGTTGGTGCTAAGATGGTGTCTTTGGCACACCCCCTCCATTGCCCGCCCTCTTTCTTGTTGACAGTCGTGTCAAACTGGTTGAAAACTACAAAGTCCATGCTCAATAATCCAGGTATACAATCCAGCATTTTTCAGTCAGGTCATCTGGACACTTCGGAGTAAGCTGTTGAGGGAATAATCAGTTTTGTTGTGTGTTTCGTTGACTGATGAAGCCTTCCGGATCGAAGGTGAAACATTTCAGCACAAAAAAAGAAACTGTCCAGATGACCCGACTGAAAAATGTTGCACTTTGGTAACGGTTTCTGTTTTAAATGAGCTATATAAATAAATCTGACTTGACTTGAAGGACAGAAACATGGCTGAATATGACAAATAATTCATAAAAGTTGCATAAATACCAAAAGTCATAACAAGATTCCAGCAAAGTTAAGTCAGGTCCTCTGGATGGTTTCTTTATGTTGAAACGTTTTGTCCATCCAAAAGACTTCAAGATGTTTTGAACCACTTTGGCCATGGCTGCCTCAAACGAGTCAGTGGGGGAGCGGGCGGGCTCCAGAAACCATCTGAGCACCATCAAACTGGTTGACCCACTATGTGAAGGTGCTACTTATAAGACTAAGTTTGTTGCAGCTCCTTGGGCTGACGAAGTCCTTTGGATGAAAGACGAAACATTTCAACACAAAGAAACCATCCAGAGGACCTGACGTAACTTTGTTGGATTTTTTTTACCTGGATTATTGAGCATGAACTGTGATGTCATAACTTGTTCTGAATGAGCTGAATGGTTTGACATATGACTTCATGAAATAGAATCTAAATTGTGGAACGAGTTACGTGCCGAAAAACATACAGAAGATAAATGGATCTCAATAGTTTGAATGCTTTAGAAACGTTCACACTATTGAGATCTGGAGCGCACACAAGGCTGCAGGTGGTCACACATATCCAGCAGCCTGCCCATTCAGGGCCTTACAAACAAACTTTAAAATCAATTCTACATTGAAGAGAGCCACTGAAGGGAGTTTTGTTCAAGTGTTTATAAATGAGCCACAGCAGAAGTTTCTGAAGCGCTGACATTATGGCCTGTAAGCATTTAAAGACTTCTTATCATTCGCCAACAGATTTAATATTAGACGTCTCAAAGTCTCGCAGAGCACGAGTCTTATTTTGCTTTGGTTCTGTTCAGAAGTGCACATCTTTTCCCCACAAATTGTCAGCGTGAAACTGAAGCACATCGGCCATTTTTAATGAACGCTGCAGCTCGGAGGTTCTTGGCGATTTCGTGCTTTGTTACCTGAGCTCGTTGGGCGTTGAATGATTCCTTTTCCCTGGAGATGCTGTTTTCGACCACCTCCTCTCGGACCAGTTTGAGCTTCTGCTGAACCTGTTCCAACTGACCCCGCATCTCCTCCGACTGCAGAGCTGACTCCTGAGCCTAGGGGGACGAGGAGAGAATTCAGTGGACAGCTCTGACCCTGGACTGCTTGAAAGAGAAGCTCATGCCTCTGGCGTCAGTCTGCTTTGTGTCTGTGGCTCTTTGCTCCTGATCACCTTGCGTTTGTTCATGTCTAAAGCTTGCGTTCGAAGCGTCAGCTCTCTCTCTGCAGTGCTGATGGTGCCCTGCAGGAGGCGCTCCTTCTCCTCAAGTTTCCTCACAACCTGCAGCTGCGCATCCACCTGGAAGTAGGCGCAGCCAAACTCTTTAAAGCACGCCCACACATCAACATGAACCACAACAAAATACTTTAACACAAGAACCGAGGCAGAACTTCTGGCTGCATTTCTTGTTTGTATAATTAATAATTATTATAACGTGATGTACATTTAAATATTCTGAAAAATGACAAGTAGTCGTCTCACGCTTCACCTGAGTTTTCAACGTGAGGAGTTGGTCGGCCAGCTCCTCCTTCTCCTCCTTTAGGAGCTTGTGGATCTGGTTGGACTTGATTCGCTCGCTCATCAGCTTGAAGTTGGCGTCGTCTTTCTCCCGGAGCTGCTGCATGAGGCGGATGTTCTGTTCCTGCATGTCCTCGAAGGCCTGTCCCGTCACGTCCATCTCGCTGAGCAGCGCGTCCTCCTCCTGCGCAGAGGAGCGAGCGTCAAAGAACGAAACGCAGCGGAGAACGAAACGCAGCGGAGAACAAGCCGAGCGGCTCACACACCTGCTTGGCTATGGACAGCTTCTTGTTGAGGATGTCGATCTGCTCCTCCACAGAACGGATCTTCCTCAGAGCTTCTTCGTCGGCCATTTTCTTGCCCTCTCTCCTCTCCCTCTCCTCCAGCTCCCGCAGCCTCTGTCGCAGCTCCTCTGCCTAAAACCAGAACAAATAAAGTGCTAAAACTCATCAATTTGTTCACAGAATAAACTAAATTTCAAAAAGAAGCACAAATATTCAAACTTTTTTTTTTTAACTTAAACTAGAGTATCCTTGTTTAATTGAGGGGACAAGATCACCTCTGACTTGGTCTTCTTCTCTGCAGCCATGAGCTGGACTTTGTCCCTCTGCTCCTTTGGTGCTGATCGGTACATGTCCAGCAGCAGCTTCATCTCCCTCTGGGACTCCTGGGCCTTCCTGCACAGTCACACTCAGGCTGTTACTTTTGTCAAACTGGTTCAAAACCAAAAAAGTCCATGCTCAATAATCCAGGTATACAATCCAACAATTTTCAGCCAGGCCATCTGGACAGTTTCTTTTTTTTCTCTCTGAAACGTTTCAACTTCCATCCAGAAGGCTTCATCAGTCAAGGAAACACGAAACACAAAACTGATTCTTCCCCCAAACAGCTTACTCCAAAGTGGAACAAACCAGTGATGTTGGTGCTAAAAGAAACTGTCCAGATGACCTGACTGAAAATTGTTGGATTGTATACCTGGATTATTGAGCATGGACTTTTTTAGTTTTGAACCAGTTTGACATGACTGTCGACAAGGAAGAGGGCCAGCTTCAGAGGAGGGGGCATGCCAAAGACACCATCTTAGCACCAACATAACTGGTTTGTTTAACTTTGGAGTAAGCTGTTTGGGGGAAGAATCAGTTTTGTGTTGTGCGTTTTCTTGACTGATGAAGTCTTCCGGATGGAAGGTGAAACGTTACAGCTAAAAAAAAAAATAAAAAAAAACTGTCCAGATGACCTGACTGAAAATTGTTGGGCTATGTACTATTTCTATAAAATGTCCACAAACATGAATAACACATTATATAAAGTCAATTCAAAACTCAACGATTATTGTCTGACCCCCAAAAAAAGACGCAGTGTAATTGTCTACGTGTTGCCTGTTTGTTAGCAAAATATCTCCTGAACCAGTGGATGTGTTTTAATAGAACGCTCAGAAAGTCATCGCTGGATGTTTATCTAACTTTTGGAGTCAAACCGTTAACAACTAATCAACTAACAAACACAGAAATAACTGTCATTTTTAGGAGTATTGAGCTACGACTGGGCGTGGTTGTAGCTGAGAGTCATCCCCAACACATGCCCTGAGAGCTAAAAGATCACGCAAAATCTGTGTTTAAAACTTTGGAAAGCAAAGCAGCAGAGGATAAGTATTTCTTCAAACAACAACAGTTAAAAATAATGAGAAGCTGCAGAGGTATGATAGTCTCTGTCACGTTGTGAGACATCAGACTATTTAAAGTCACATTAAACTGATGATGTTGACGATTTCAGTCATAAAAATCTTTCAGCTTCAAGCCAACCTACAGAAACAAATTCATCATTAAAAACCATATTATAAAAATAAATTAATAGAGTAATCCAACCAGAGCCACAAACCAAACACTTGTTACGTTCTAAGACGTCTAGAAGATCGAGAATATTTACAGATGTTTCCAGAGGAAAAGCAAGCATTTAATATTAAATCATAATCTATTTTTAAAAACTTTGAAACTTTGTGTTTTCTTGTACACAGTATCAGATCAGGATGGAAAATAAAACTCCCAACGTACTTGAGTTCTGTTCGAACGATTTTCAGCTGCTCCATCTCCTTCCTCTTGGATCCTCCGACCACAGACAGACGATCTCCGGTTAACTCCTCGGCTTGGCTGCTGCTTCCCAGCTTCTCCTCCTTTATGATGCTGCTGCTGCTCCCGCTGCTTCGAGGGGGCCTCTCTCTGTCCTTTTCCTTCTCCCGCTCCCTTTCTTTCTCCTCTTTCTTTATAAAGTCTTTTTTGTCTTCCTTGTCCTTTTTCTCCTCTTTTTCCTCTTCCTTTACAGCCGCCTCTGATTCTACACCGGGCTCTGTTTTTAGTGCGTTGCCTTCAGAAATACAAAGCAAAAGTCCAGATGTGACTTATTATAGTAAGACTGCCTAAAACAATATAATCTAATATGAACTCAGTTTGATACCGATGCTACTGGGTGTTGAGGCGTCGTCCAGCTCCGTCTTCACCACAGATTCTCCAGAAACAGCTGGAGTTGACGGAGAGGTCGTCTCCTCCTTCACGTCCATCTCTGTGCTCGACTGTGATTGGAGAATGGCGCTGCCCTTTGACATTCGAAGCTACGAGGTAAATGGATATCTTTAAGCGTTACTTTTCTGTCATGTTCTGTCTCACAACCTTTAGAGAGGATTTTATATAAAAATAGCTCCTGCTTTTTAATTTTTTTGCTGATGAGATAAAACCTACCTGGTTGAGCTCAGCTTGAGTCTCTCGTAGTCTCAGCTTGTATTTCACCACCTCTCCTTTTAGCTGCTGGTTGTGGGTTTGCAGCGTGCTGATCAGGTGACGCATCTCACGGTTGATGGGACCTGTGAAGCAAGAAGCACGTGAAAATGACAAGAACAGGTCGGGGCTTTAATACACTTGGTGCATATTACTGGTTGCATAGGTTTACCTGCTTGCTCGTTGGCTGCAAGAGTCTGCTCAAATTCTATACGCAACATCTCGTACTCCTTCTTGACCTGAGCCAGTGTGTCCTCCAGCTGAAACACTTCTGTGCGAACCTTCCTCTGCAGAGCCACCTCGTCGTTCTGCACTCAGACGAGACGGAAAATGAACGGAAGGCAAACAGAAACACAGCTACCGACTAAACTAAACATACCTCCATGTGCTCCAGCTGCCGAAGCCGTGCCGTCCTTGTCGTGTTGAGGCGGGCTCGAGTCTCGTCTAACTGGGCCTTGAGGATCAGGGACTCGTTGTAGAGCACAGAAAACTGGGACTGCAGGCAGCGATACTCAGAGGTCTCCTTGACCAAACCTTCAGCTCGGCTGAGCAGCTCCGTCTGAGACAAAAAAAATAAAATAAAAAAAATCAGAGACAAGAACTTAACAGAAATAAAGGCCTAGCATTCTTTGGACAATATTTATTGTCAGTCAGATGCATATTGAGTTTAAAACTAACAATGAAAGAGTTTTTGATCAAATGTGCACCATCGTTAAATGCAACTGCAGAAAAAAACTGCAAGATTTTGCACAATCAGTGTGATATATGTTGAGCTGAACACGTAGAATTTTAACGGAGATGCAAAATTACCCACAGAATGAGGGTGAGAATATACGTTAGCACAAAGCTGAATTGTTGAACTCATGTGGCTTTTCTGTATTTCTGCACGGCCATTAATCTGATGCAGAACATTGCTGTGTTCAGTAAAAATACCTTCATGTTGTTGTTCTCCTGTTGAACGTTCTGCAGATCCTGCTGAAGTTTCTGCAGCTCAATGAAGCGATTATCTGCCAGCTCCCTGTTCTCCTCCATCTCGCTGTTCATTTCCTCAAACTATTTTAGAAGATTAACACAAGTTAAGATCCAAAACAGCACTTCTCACAAAACAGCTTGTTCTAACTAAAATAAAGCGAGGACAAATAAAGTGTACCTTTCTCTTGTTAATAGTGATGGTTCCACAAACACTGCTGGCCTCTCCACACACTTTATAGCCTTTGCTGTTGACCTGGAGTGCACAGGTGACGTTAGAACCTACTTCTGCATAAACAGACACATTGTACTGTTATTATAATCTCACCCTCTCCAGTATCTCGCTCAAGTGTGCGTTCAGTCTGTTTTCTCGTCGACGGATCTTCTCCATGTCCCACTGGAGCTCCTCGATCCGGGCCTGCAGCTCAGTGACGCGCTGGTCTGCTTTGTTAGTCGCCCGACCCAGAGACCGGGACTGCAGAGGAAAAAAGTACAGAGACTGAAGCTCATAGGTGCCGGTACATAACACGCTCGAAGAAATGGCTTCACAACAAAGCACAATCTAACTACAAAGGCCCTCAGAATTTATAACCATACATCTAGTAAATCAAGATGGGAAGTTCTATTGTTATAACAGGGCAAGATGATTTTGAAAAAAATATATGTTTAATTAATTAGTAAGTGATTAAAACATATGAGGCTTACCTCACTGGTCATGTGAATGTGTTTCTGTTTGAGGTCTTCTGTCAGCTGCTGGAGCAGTTCGTTTTCAGTGGCCAGGCGGGAATTCAGCTTGGAAGTTACCTGCTTCAGACTCCCCTCTGAAAATGAATACAGAACAGGGGTAATTACTTCTCTTGTGTACATTTTACATGTAACTGTTCTGGCAGTACATGTATTTTCCTAAGAAAATAAATAAATAAAAATAAAACCTTTTTTCTCTCTCACCGTGTCCAGAGTCTAACTCCAACTTTAGCTGATCCACGGTGTCCTTCAGGCTCTTGTAGATCTCCACAACACGACCGGCCTGCTTCTGGCTGGACTCCACTCGCTCTTGGAGCTCGGTCTCCATCTCCTCACAGGTGCTGCTCGCCAGCGTCGCCAGAAAAGAGTTGGAGGTCTCCCCTTGATGCCCTGTGAGGATAAACAACAGCAGAAAATCTTTTGAGTTCAGATTTTTGTTTTTCGTTGCCAATTATTTCTGTTTCAGGTCTGTTTTCACCTCTGTCTTTGGCCCTCTCCTGGTTAGAGTCTCCATCAGGTTCAGGAGTTTCCGGCTTTAGGCTCCGACCCTCACCTGGTGGAGATTTCTCCGGTTCGCTGTTTGATTGATCATAGCGCCTGATGATGAGCCGAATGTTTTCATCAAACTGAAAAGAGGAGCATTACGTCACATGTTGACATAAGGAACATTTGTTGAACAAGCCATTTTTGTTACAGCTTCCTTCAGCGTTCACCTGATTCCAGTATCTGTTGAGGATGAGCAGGCTGGCGTCATCAGTTGCCTGCCGGGTCTCCAGTCTCTCGATCCGCTCTCGCAGCTCGTCCTCAATCACCTACAAATAAAATCAGAATAAACTTGATTGCAGTCTGAAGATAAAGCACAGCTACTCCCCTGTGTCTGTGTAAAGAGCTGTAAATACAATAAATTTACCTGTCTTTGATCAAGAGCTTCTCCTAGCTTTCGGTTTTTAGCTTGAAGAGCTTTGATGTCTTGCTCTTCCTTTAAAAAAAATAACAATAGTTCACATATAATCATAAAAACAGACATGATGCTTTTGTAATTAGAGGTAATAACACAGATATGACTGCGTGATATTAACGAGATGCTCACAGAGTTGGACACTCCTCCCAGTTTGATGACCGTCTCCACCGCGGTGCTGCCGCCGGCCCCAGCGCTGACACCGGGCCCTCCGTCCTCTCCGTCCCGCTCCCTCCGCTTCTCCGGCGGGGCTCCGGAGAACGAGGGTCCGCAGGGGTCAGCAGGACGCTTCTGTCCAGACATCCTCAGACCCCTGAACACACACACAAAAAAGAAAAATAAGGCAGAGTGTCAGTGCGGATTCGGACCTATAACACATCCTCAAACCTAGGTCTCTTCAACAATGAGCATTCTTAAAGTCAATAATTTGTTTTTTACGTTTCAATCCTTGAAGTTTGGCTGAATCAGTCATGAGGCTAACGCTAGCTTATGGCTAACGTTAGCCTTACGCTAGCGTTAGCAAATATACTAACTGGGTTAAATTCTGGGAAAACAAACAAATAATGCAATAATTGAGCAGTATGGTACACATGGACTAAACCTTACCGATTTAAAGTTTAATAGTTGTTAACTGGCTCTGGTAATAAGGATGCTGCGGCTTTCTGTCTTCACGGAAACGGAAATGATAGCGGTAGCAATCAGCTAACACACTGCCCCCTACCGGGTAGGAGGGCGTTCAAAATGCCTCTAAAGATGACTACATAATAATATACATAATAATACATCAATTTGACCATATTTCTTCTGTTTCTCATTATAAATACAGATGAAAATTAGCCTCTCTGGATAAATCTGGCATATTTATGTGATGTATTCATGTTGATTAATATGCATTGTCCCTTTATGAAATAAAGAAATATGAAATAAACAACTCCACAAGTTGCCCACTCGCTCCTCCAGTTTGTTATCAATATCTCACCTTCTCTGTTCTTCTCAGGAGTCTAAATAGACAACGATGTTCTACGTCGACATTGCGATCCGCAGTGAGAGTAGAGAGCATGCGGAAGAGAGTCTGGAGAGGATGCTCTGGAGAGACGAGGAATGAAAGAAGCAAGACAGAACACGTGTGTGACTAACAGGGGTGGAAGTGAAGTAGCTGGTGTCAAGAAGAGGCAGGTAGGGTGGAGTTGATGGAGATACTGCAGTTTTCATTATACCACTGGCTCTTGCTGCCTCAAGTGGAGGAGTTTAAGTGGCTCAGGTTTTGTTCATGAGTGAGAGAAGAATGGAGTGTGAGATCTGCAGACGAATTGGTGCGGATTTCGTAATATTGCGAACTCTGTGCTGGTCCGCTGTGGTGAAGAAAGATCTGAGCAGTAGATGAGATTCTCTGTTTATCAGTCAATTTAAATTCTTACTTTCACATTTTGAGCTCTAGGTAGAAACCAAAAGAATGAGATCCCGGGCACAGGCGATGAAAAGGACTTTCCTCCGCAGGGTAGCTGGTAAAGACTGAGTAGAGCCACTGCTCCTTCACATTAAAAGTAGCCAGTTGAGAAGTTTCGGGCATCTGGTAAGGATCCCCCCTGGACGCCTCTTTAGGGGGATGCTCGGAGTATTTCCAACAAGAGTAAACCCAGGAAAGACCCAGGACACGCTGGAGAGTTTATGACTTTCAACTGGCCTGGGAACGCCTTGGAGTCCTCAGCTGTGGTGGCTATGGAAAGAGATGTCTGGGCCTCCCTGCTCAACCTGCTGCCCTGTGACCCGACTCTGGAACAAGTGGCAGATAAAGGATAGATGGGACTGACTCTTGACACCTCATGTTTCTGCACATTACTTTTTAAAATATACTTTTTATTCTTTTTGTTGATATTGAAAGTCAATATTCTTTATAAAAAATAGTGATTGTATTTATCATAGCCTAAAGCAGAACTCTGAAATAATCTTATAATGCTTCCTTTGTAATATATGGTTCAACAATTACACAATGTCTAAAAGGCAGACAAACTGCCTATTGCACAGCAGGTGACACAAGCTGTTTATTTTACAGAGACCCGGATATCAGTCTTTACCTCACTATCTAGTCCTTGTTTTTGTTACATTTAAAATTTAACCAAAGTCTCGGACTCTTCCATCAATAAGGTCGCCAAATCACATGACAGAACCAAATCTGTTTTAGTGTCAAAATGCTTTTAGAATCATTACCCTGAAGGTCTGGAAATGTGTACGCTTAGTTTCTTCACAGTGATATGGACTAATAAAAACAACGTTGCTTACTAAACTGAAGTATTTTATAAAATTGAAGTTTTACATCTAATCCAAGACGTGTGGTGATCTGAGTGACAAGCTCTTTTTTTTTTCTTCCATAAATGTGATTTACAACTTGTTGGGTTTTGCCATGTTATATTGAAAACACGCAAACCAGAAATTGTTTAATTACTATCTCACATACTTGCTGGGACGGACAGCATACTTTGTATAAGTTTCAGATTAAAGTACAATATGTGCAAACAAATTCTCAAAGACTGAACTCTGAGCTGTAATATTAGAAAGGACCTTGCACAGAGTGCAGAGTTCAGATTGTGCAAAGGATCTCTTGTCATTATTTGCGAGTTACAAATCAAGCCCAGCCTTGTGGGGTCCAAGATCCCTATCTGCTGTGATACGCTGCATGCGTGAGTTGACAGATGTCAGTTTTAGTTGTCGAAGTAAAAAACAGTTCATGCACGAGACGCTTTGGCATGAAGGTGGTGTTCAAATTTAGCTTTAGATCAAATTTAAACCACTGGAACAATAAATGCTTCTTGGTGTGTGCAGAAAGTACGCTTTGACAGTTATAATGAAAAAAACATAAACATTTAAATGGTCCTTTTTTGAAAAGTAATTCTGCAAAAGAAAGTAAAATTGGCTAAAACTGTTTACGTTGTTATATGCTCATTTAAAGAAGGCTTTAGGTTTTATAACGCTGAGGGAAGACTTAAAAGTTTTTGTGCTCTTTGACTTTAAGGAAAGAGAAATGAGGAAAAGTTTTTTGTGTTTTTTGTTTGTTTGTTTTGTATGGTAAAGTAAATGTAAATGAGTCCCGGAGGCTCACTGGGATTAACCTTTATAAATAAAGGTTGAACGAAAAGTAAAAGGGATCTGACAACTGGACATACCTGCATCTTTTTCTTTCAAAATGAGCACTAGTGGTTCTTTAAAAGCTGTATTTCCTATAAAGCTGGGGCTGAGTCTGTGCAACATCAAATGAGGGGGGGGGCTTAAGAAGCTTTACAGGAATCAAAATAACTTTGAAAATTATTGATAATTTAATTGTCGCAATGACTTAAAATCAGTGATGATAAATGGGTAAAGTGAAACTAGCATTTCTTGAAAGATTGTTTATCACATTAAACAAAGATCTTATTTTCTCTGTTAGCGCAAGTAAATGTAACAGGGTTGACACTTGGCTGCTACCACAATATCTGTAGTTATAGTCATTCAGCTGTGGTAGCCATCTTGAATCCACTTCAAAAGTCAATTAGATCCAGTGTAATCCAATAAATACTTTCTGAGTTTTATTAAAATCCATCCAGTTATTCGTGAGAGATTTTGCTAGGAACTGACTTGCTTGAAACTAACAGTCAATGCCAATGTTTTGAACAAGCTCTAACCCCTAACCCCAAAATGGTGTTCCGCTAGGACGGTGCTTCGGTCCCCAGAAGGACTAGTGGTCCTAACGAGGCATATGTGTATACCATACACATACACATTGTTTTTTGAACCCGTCCAAAGCTGACTTAACTTTTTTAGATTTTTCTACCTAGATTATTGAGCATACATCAGGATATACCATAAAGGATTCTAAAAAGGTAACAAAACCAAGGCATACACACACATGCAACATGATCAGATTTCATGGAAGTGATAATGACTGGCAATAGCATATTTAGGCTTAAATATATAAAATGGTTGGGCTCCTTGGTAAATGCCTTTTTACCATAAGTTTCTGCCCCATTTTATGGGTTGAAAGTTAAAAAGTGTAGCTGTGAAAATAGTAGTACATTATTTGCTTGTGTGAATGTCTGCATTTGACTCTGCAGGAACAGAACCACAAACCTGAAGTGCAACATTTCAACAGGCCTCTCAAGTCAGTGATCAGGAGGCGGAGCTGGTTCACAAACTGTCATGTTTTCCAGCCCAGTCCAGGCCCTGATATGAACCATAAAGTCCACAACCCGCCCCTGAGGTGTGTCAGATGACTGGGGCCAATTGTTTCAGCAGAGGGACAGCCGCCCCCCTCCCGAGCCACATCACCAGCACCTCCCCCCACCGCCTCCAACCGAACCATAAAAACAGCTTTTCACTCACTTTCAGTCTGATTCATCAGGCTGATCACCTCTGGGAGGCAAAGTGTGTTTACCATCGTCTCTGTCTGACAAAACCAACAAGTAAGACGCTTTCTAAATTTTTAGTGTTAAAATTGTTTGCATTTTTTCTGCAGGCTTGCTCTGTTCTGTGCAGCTTTTCATGTGGGTTTGCACATGCTTTTGCACAACTTTTTCTCTGATTTATTTTAAAAAATCAGTGGGTATTTTATACTGAAAAGTTCTTACAATAGCTTAATATAACCTCATTTGTCCAAATGTGTATTAATTATGTTTCCTGCAGATACATCTCAGTGTTTATCATGTGGGTTTGTGCTGCCTGTTGTTTAAGAAAACTTATAACTCTGTAGCTCTTAAACTTGACTTGTAGCTGTTTTCAATGCATTCCTCTGCAGAAAGCATTGAGTGAACTTAGCAAGCAGCTTCAAATGAACTATGAATGAATGTTGCATCATGAAGGAGAACTTTGTTTCTGAAGGCCAAAGTTCAACCATGCAAGCCAAATATTTAACTGCCATGGTGGTGCAGGAGAAGCAGGACGTTGTATGCGGAGTTGATTAGAAATGGCTGAACCTTCCTCATACCTGCTCAAGTCTTTTGTTGTACAGCTCTCAGTTTAATAACTATTGTTGTTTCTACCAGGATGACTCATCAGTTCCCTGCGCTGTCCCCGGAGAAGAAGAAGGAGCTGGCTGACATTGCCCAGAAGATTGTGGCTACAGGAAAGGGGATCCTGGCTGCAGATGAATCGACAGGTGAGCCTCAATCTCGGTTCTTGTTTCTGCATTTGGTGTAACAGCTGAAAAATAAATGAACGCCGTCCTCGTCCAGGCACCATGGCCAAGCGGCTGCAGAAGATCAATGTGGAGAACACTGAGGAGAACCGCCGCTTCTACCGCGACATCCTTTTCTCCTCTGACCCCTCCATCGCCAACAGCATAGGCGGGGTCATCTTCTTCCACGAGACGCTCTACCAGAAGTCAGACAGCGGGAAGCTTTTCCCCCAGCTCATCAAGGAGAAGGGGATTGTTGTTGGCATCAAGGTAAGACATTTAAGTCTTTAAGAACAACCATGATCTCGTTTTACAGATGACTCTGACTTGTGTTTTGTTTTTTATGGGTGTAGGTCGACAAAGGCACAGCTGCTCTCGCTGGAACAGATGGAGAGACCACCACACAAGGTAAACCAAAAGAACGTTTGACAAATAAAAATGAATATTTTGAATGAATCGTTTTATGGTTTGTTTAGGTCTTGACGGCCTCTCAGAGCGATGCGCCCAGTATAAGAAGGACGGCTGCGACTTTGCTAAATGGAGGTGTGTGCTGAAGATCTCGGGCAGCTGCCCATCAGCACTCGCCATAGCAGAGAACGCCAATGTTCTTGCCAGATACGCCAGTATATGCCAACAGGTGTGTTTTTTATCATTTATCTTCAGTACTGGCCAGCAGATAGTAGCGATCATAGCAAGTTGAATCAAATGCATCTGGACTTTGTTTTCTGCATTCCTCAGTGATCTTATTAGTGTTTAATCATTTGATTTGATCTCCCTCAGAACGGCCTGGTGCCCATCGTGGAGCCAGAGATCCTGCCTGATGGTGACCACGACCTGCAGCGGTGCCAGTACGTCACAGAAAAGGTTGGTGTGGTACATAAAACTGGAGATGTTTTCCCCACTACACAAAAGTGACTGACATCTTTGCATCTTTAGGTCCTGGCTGCTGTCTACAAGGCTCTGTCGGACCACCACGTGTACCTGGAGGGCACATTGCTGAAGCCCAACATGGTCACTGCCGGACACTCCTGCACTAAGAAATACACCCCGGAGGATGTTGCCTTGGCCACAGTGATGACTCTGAGACGCACTGTCCCCTCTGCAGTGCCTGGTGAGACTCATATGATCAGCTTTTCAGCCCCATAATGAATCCGTTTTTAAAAATGGCTATCTAGAATGCAAGTGCTATTTGTGTGTTTGCTTGTTCTTTTAGGCATCTGCTTCCTGTCTGGTGGTCAGAGTGAGGAGGAGGCCTCCCTCAACCTGAATGCCATCAACCAGGTGGCCCTCTGTCGCCCCTGGAAGCTGACCTTCTCTTACGGACGAGCACTTCAGGCGTCTGCTCTTTCAGCGTGGATGGGCAAAGCTGCCAACAAGGCAGCAGCCCAGCAGGTTTTCTGCCAGAGGGCCAAGGTGAGACGTCCAGATGTTGAGTTTTCATTATCAAATCACTATCAACGAGTCAGAACTGTTGATTAAGTTACTTATCTTGATGTACTCAACTTTATGTCGTCTGGTAAATCATTGATTTCTAAAAGCTTTTCGCCTCTTCAGTCTTGCACTCATGCAGTTCATGTTATCTGGCTGATCATTAACACTCACATTTGACTTTGCCCTTCTCCGTCCTCTGATCAGATCAACGGCTTGGCTTCCAAAGGAGAGTACAAGCCTGCCGCCACAGCTGACAAGGCCTCCATGAAGTCTCTGTACACTGCCAGCTATGTCTATTAAACACCGCGAACACTTAAAATAAAATAGAACCAAAACAAATGGACCAAATCTGCCCCCTCAGCTTGATGATCAGTTTTTGTGTACCACGCCTAGATGACTTCCACCAACATGTCAAGCTGCTGTTTGTCTACTCGATGAAATAACTGGAAATAAATTAAAAGCCCCAAAACATCTGGCTTCTTTGCAAATTTTTTTTTTGGGGGGGGGGTCACAACTTCATTTTTTTTCCTTCTAGTTTTGCTAAATAAGAGGTCAGGACAGTGGGAGTTTTGTTCGTTCATTCACGTCCGTCACTAAATAAGACGATGAGGCATTTGGCTACAGGACTGATTAACAGAGGTGCCATTTTCACCCAATAAAAAAACACACACAAAAGAGATGCAAGATATTTAATTTTATTGGATAAAAAAATATATACAGTTGCAACACCAGCCATTACTAAAACAACAAAAAACTAATGTATTTAAGATGAGGCATCAAACCTGTTGTTTTTATTTTTGACTGAATTACCGGATAGTATCCAAAAATAATTGATTGATTCATTACAAATCGATAATACAGTGGTGCTTAAATGTTTGTGAAGCCTTTAGAATTTCTAGATTTCTGCATAAATATGACCTAAAACAACATCAGATTTTCACACAAAGAGAACCCAGCTAAACTGAGACAAAAATATTATACTTAGTCATTTATTTATTGAGGAAAATGATTCAATATTACATATTTGTGAGTGGTAAAAAGTATGTGAACCTCTAGGATTAGCAGTTAATTTGAAGGTGAAATTAGAGCCAGGTGTTTTTCAATTAATGGGATGATGATCAGGTGTGAGTTTGCACCCTGTTTGATTTAAAGAACAGGGATCTATCAAAGTCTGCTCTTCGGGCAGCATTATAAGCCCAATAATGTTTTCTATAATGATAGATAATGTTTTTGCACAAACTGATTAAGGAATGGGCTGTTTGCTTTTTGCGGATGATGGAGCCATTTGGAAAAGGGGACGTAATGTAGATTTTACTGCTAAAAAAATCAGGATGCTATTGTTAAAATAGAGAAATGGGCATATCAACGGGGGTTTGAATTCTCTGTGGAAAAAACAAAGTTGATGATGTTTATGCAGAAAAAACAGATAAAGGATGTTAAAATTAAATTATATAATCAAGAATTAGAACAAGTAAAATGTATAAAGTTCTTAAGAATACAGTTTGATGAGAAAATAACATGGAATATTCATATACAAGAAATTATTGATAAATGTAAAAAAGTTCTAAACATTATGAGATATTTAGCAGGAAGTGATTGGGGGGCAGAAAGAGGGGCGTTAAAAAGAATTTACATAGGTTTGATCAGATCAAATATAGATTATGGAAGTATTGTTTATGGGTCAGCAGCGAAGACATCTGGAAACACTGGACAGTATTCAACATCAAGCGCTAAGGATTTGTACTGGAGCATTCAAAACCACCCCTATAGCAGCAATTAAAGTTGAGATGGGAGAAATGCCATTAGAATTAAGGAGAATACAATTAGCTATAAGCTACTGGATCAGTTTACAAGGAAATAAGTCAAACCATCCGACAATAGAAACTTTAAAACCATGTTGGGAAAAAGAGAAAAAGGAGACAAGGAGTTTTGGATGGGTAATTAATAGAAAGGCAAAAGAATTACAAATAACCAACTTAAGAATTAGTCCAGTGGTGCCTTTGCCAGCAGTACCACCATGGATCCTACCAGATGCAAGAGTATATTTAACTCTTTTAGACAAGAAGAAGGATAAAGGATATATTTTAAATTCAAACAGTACAGATATATATAAACAACGACTATAATCATATTCAGATATTTACAGATGCATCAAAAAATCTAACTGGAGAAATAGGAATAGCCTTTGTTATACCAGAATTTCAGATAAGACAAGGAAAACGAGTTACAAATGGGTTATCAGTATACACAAGAGAAATATTAGCATTATTATTAGCAATACAATGGATAGAAGAAATTAAACCTTTAAAAACAATAATTTGCTCAGATTCTAGTTCAGCATTAACCAGTCTAAAATACAACCACTCAGACAGTAGAGCAGACATTTTAATAGAAATACAGCAAATATTATTCAGGATACAAATGATGGGATTAACAGTTATATTTATTTGGGTTCCAGCTCACATTGGGATTAAGGGTAATGAAATAGCAGATAGGGAAGCAAAAAAGGCAACAACAGGACAAGTTAATTTTACAGTGAAGCAAATCAGAAGCAAAAAGTATAATTAAACAAAAATTGAGGGAATGTGGCAGAAAGAATGGGATGAAGATAAAGGAAGGTGGTATTACAGGATTCAAAAAAAGAGTAGGAAAAATGAGAGTAGGAAGAAAAAATAGGAGAGGAGAAACTATTAACAAGGTTAAAATTTGGACACAATGGACTTAGCAGTTCGCTATACAGACTACAGCAACACAATACAGGAAACTGTCAATATTGTGGAGAAAACGAGACAATAGAACATATTATTTTATTATGCACAAGATATGTGATAGACAGGAGATTAATGTTGGAAGAATTTAGGGAAAAGAAAGAAAAGTTTAATTTAATAAATATACTACAGGGAAATTCAGATAGTAAAAGTACTCAGATTTTAATTAGATTTTTCTGGAAAACAAAGGTGATTAACAGAATACAGCATAGAATAAAAGAAACATTTTAAGACACACTCCATACCGGTAGGTGGCGGTAATGCAACCTCAACGTTTCTTGCCAACCACCAATAAAACGTCAACAACAACAACAACAACAACAACAACAACAACAACAACAACAACAACAACAACAACAACAACAACAAGGCTGCACAACATGTTTGTGTAAGTGTATTATGGCAGGAACAAAGGAGATTTCTGAGGACCTCAGAAAAAGAGTTGTTGTTCATCAGGATGGAAACGGTTACAAAAACATCTGTAAAGAGTTTGGACTCCACCAATCCACAGACAGATTGTGTACAAATGGAGGACATTCAAGACCAGTTACCCTCCTCGACCAACAAAGATCACTTCAGGAGCAAAGTGTGTAATTGTTGGTGAGGTCACAATGGACTCCAGGGTAACTTCTAAGCAACTGAAGGTCTCTCTCACATTGACTAATGTTCATGAGTTCACCATCAGGAGAACACTGACCAACAATGGTGTGCATGGCAGGGCTGAAGGAAGCCACTGATCTCCAAAAAGAACATTGTTGCTCATCTGCAGTTTGATAAAGATCATGTGGACAAGCCAGAAGACTGTTGGAAGAATGTTTTGTTGGACAGTTGAGACCAAAATAGAACTTTTAGGTTTAAATAAAAAGTGTTCTGTTTGGAGAAAGTAAAACGCTGCATTCCTGCATAAGAACCTTATCCCATGTGTGAAACATGGTGGTGGCAGTATCATGGTTTGGGCCCGTTTTGCTGTATCTGGGCCAGGACAGCTTGCCATCATTGATGGAACAATAAACTCTGAATTATATCAGAGAATTCTAAAGGAAAATGTCAGAACATCTGTCCTGAATCTGAAGAGAAGGTGCGTCATACAGCAAGACAATGACCCTCAGCACACAAGTTGTTCTACCAAAGAATGGTTCAAGAAGAATAAAGTTCATGTTTTGGAATGACCAAGTCAAAGTCCCAACCTTAATACAGTCCAAATGTTGTGGAAGGACTTGAAGCAAGCAGCTAATGTGAAGAAACCACCAAGATCCAGAGTAAAACTGTTCTGTATGGATGAATGGACTAAAATTCCTCCAAGCCGGTGTGTGCAGGACTGATCAACAGTTACTGGAAATGTTTAGTTGCAGTTATTGCTGCAAAGGGAGGGTCACACCAGGTACTGAAAGCAAAGGCTCACATATTTTTACCACTCATAAATATGTAATATTGGATAATTTTCCTCAATAAATAAATGACCAAGTATAATATTTCTGTCTCATTTGTTTAACTGGATTCTCTTGATCTACTTTTAGGACTTGTGTGAAAATCTGATTATGTTTTGATCATATTTATGTAGAAATATGGAACATTTTGAAAGGGTTCACAAACATTCAAGCACCACTGTATGTCTAATACAGGTAGCTGCTAAATTAAATCATACTTGAAAACAGACTACCTGAAGTTTAAAGGCCCGTGTTAAAACAATTCTGTAATGATAGCTAAGAAATGCAAAGTTTAATGATTTAAACTTAAGCTGCAAATTGAAATATAATAGATATTATGTAAACAGATTTTGGAGCTTGTCGAGTACAGTACATCAGATTAAAAAAAAGCTTTTTGAAGCAACTATTTTTACATATTACATGGAAAAATATTTACATCATGTAACAATATAGTTCACTTCCATTTAAAGTACAGTATATGAAAAAAAAAATCAAACGTGTTTAAGCAAAACTGTAACACTGGCATGTTGTACCGAAACAAGACACGGTTCAATCACAACATACCCAAACTGCAGTAGAAACAGTGTTCGTGCAGATTAATACGTCAGGCGGCTGATCTTAGTGCGACATCTCACTCTGTGGCGGCCGGGGATTGTACTGGACAATAACCTAACAAAAAATAACAATGAGAACAAAACGTTGAGCAACAAAATTAATAATTTTAGGATTGTGAGAAGTTGCATTCTACTCCGGGCTGCTTTACGCCTTGTTATATTTTAGTGATGTAAGTTTGTCTTGTGTGAAAAGTTAAAAAGATATTTTAAATGATTTTTGATCAACTTTCACATAGTTTGAAGTTCATATTCACCCTTCATTATACTCATAATGTAATTGAAACTGTTGCAGTAGAGTCTAAGGTTGCAGTTTATTGATGACAACCGTGATATTAAAAATATGAAAATGACTAAATATTAAAACAAAAGTATAATTATGTCATGGTTGACCACATTTCCTGGCCTTTCATTTCATTGTTATGCTGATGATTGTCAGATTTATCTGCCCTTGAATAGATTCTGCTCCACTCACCCTCTGTTAAAATCGTTAGTTACATACTGTAACCCCAGATTCTATGAGTATAGGCGTAGCCCTTTAAGGCTGTCGCTGGTGGGTTTATCCCGTCATGCAAAGCATTGCACTGAAAAAATTAGTCCACGCCCACCTGTCGTGTGGGCCCCACCCAGTCCGTATAAATTACGTTAAGAGCGGGTAATCGGCTCCCAA